CCGCGAATTGAGGCATGCCTCGATCTGGCATAGGAGGGTGCTCATCTCCTCAAACGACAACGTGTGTGTACCGAGAACTCGATGTAGGTGATGTTTGACGCTTTTAACTCCCGCCTCCCAGAGCCCACCGAAATGCGGAGCGGAGGGGGGAATGAAATTCCAGTCTACGTTGTCGCTGGCGAGGTGGTTTAAGAAGGCTGGATCTCGCAGGACGGATCGATAGGCGGAGGTCAGTTCGCGGTCGGCGCCTACAAAGGTCGTCCCGTTGTCCGAGAACATGGACTGGGGGAGGCCTCGGCGAGAACAAAAACGCCGGAACGCGCTGAGAAACGCGGCGGTGGAATAATCCCCGACTAGCTCGAGGTGAACGGCTCGAGTGGCCAGACAGACGAACAGAGCCACGTACGCCTTCTGTGATCTGATCCCTCGTCCCGCGGAGGTTCGAACCTTGATTGGTCCGGCGTAGTCGACGCCACAGTGGGCGAAGCATCGAGGAGGAGGAGACACTCTTAATGGGGAGATCGCCCATTAATTGGCAAGGAGTCGCGGCCCGCTCGCGAACACAAGGGAGGCACGCGTGAATGACGGATTTGACTAGACTGCGCGCGCGGAGTACCCAGTACTCCTTGCGCAGCGCACTGAGAGACAACTGAGTCCCTCCATGGAGAGTTCTCTCGTGGACGTGGGAAACGATGAGCCTCACCACCGAATGTGGGGCGAGCAGCACTGGGTGGCGCGTATCGTACGGAAGAGGAGCGTGGCGAAGACGTCCGCCAACCCTCAACACGCCGTCATCATCCAAGAATGGGTTTAACGACGCGATAGAACTCTTGGAAGCAATGCTGCGCCCGGCACGCAGGGCCTGCATCTCGACTCGAAATACCTCGTCCTGAACATATCGGATCCAGAAGCGTTTGGCTAGAGCGTATTCCGTGGAAGTGAGCGCACGGCTCGGAGGCGGAAGCGGAGCAGAGCGTCGAGTCGGACTACGACATGAGCGCAGAAAACGGTACAGGTAGGCCGTGACGCGGACCAACTTGGGCCACGATGAGAATCGTGTGGCCAAATCCCAGCTCGCCGGAAGGGGCTGGGCGGTAAGGGTGTGCACCTTCTTTTGTTCCGGAATATCGCTCCGGTGCAGGTCGGGTTCCATGGGCCATTCTGTAGACGGCGAAATGAGCCATGGAGGACCGCTCCACCACAGTTTATGCGCGACGAGCTCGTCGCCGTGAAGGCCCCTCGACGCACAGTCGGCGGGGTTGCAGGCGGTCGGCACATGGCGCCAGACGACCTGGGGCAAATTCTTTTGGATCTTGGCGACGCGATTCGCCACGAAAACAGTCCATCTCGAAGGATGAGATCGAAGCCACGTCAGGACGATGGTGGAATCAGTCCAGCACGTACACGGTACGGACTCCAGATCAAGTGAATGTCGTACAAATAGAATTAAACGAGAGAGGAGGAGAGCGGCCGACAACTCGAGCCGAGGGACGGTCAGCGGAGAAATCGGAGCGACTCTGGATTTGCCCGCGAGCAGCGAAACCGTAACGTCGCCATCCGACGTGATCGCTTTCAAATAAACGACCGCGGCGTAGGCGTGAGTAGACGCGTCGGCGAAGCCGTGCAGCTCGAGATGGGACGCCGGTTGCGCGCCCGTCCACCGAGGAAGCGAGAGACGGTTTAGAGACGGCAGCTTCGAATAAAGGAGCTGCCAATGCGCGAAAACGGAATCCGGAACTCGATCGTCCCATCCAAGCTGACAGCGCCACAACCGTTGAAGAATGATTTTCGCAGAGACGGTGACCGGCGTGACCCAACCAAGGGGGTCGTACAGCC